TACTGATTAATATAAGAGTGATTATCTATCGAAAGAGCAGGAAATTTGTTAAAAAAATATGTATGTTTTAGGTATAATTTTTTTCTTTTGCTTTTTAATAACTCATTATTATAAACAAATAAATTGAAATTTAAAAATAAATCTAAAATTTTTTTTAAACAGAATAAACAACGCAAATTTATTTAGTTTCACACAAGCAGAATAAATTGCAATATTTCGCAAAATATGCATATAAAATACAAGCATCATTCAAAAATACAATTTGATTCAAAATAATACTATTTGTCCTATTGGATTGTGTATAGTCTCATTCGGTTCCATGTAAAAAAATACACCGCAACTAATACCATATTTGTAAGGATAGTAATGTTGAACTAGTACAGACCAAAAATGTTACTTTTTATACATAATTTTTTTATAAATTCTGAATAATTAGTCCTATTGTTTTGTGGTTGATTTTATTCGATTCAGCTTTAAAAAAAGCATAGTGAAGAATATATCATTTGTCTTGATAACAATGTAAGACGTGTAACTAGATATATATAAGTCCTAAGTGTCTTTATGTATAAAAAGTTCTGTCTTAGATCTATTTATCGCCATACACTAGACATAAAAAATGACATAACCCTAAAATCTAAAAAAAAAACTTCTACTCTTTAGTACCATTCTCTTAGTAGGTGGTAAAAAGTTGATGAAAACGAGGAGAAACTTAATCACATTCCGTTCAATGTACAGTCCTTTCTTTGACAGCTTCTCACTTATTATTATTTATACTTATTATTTAATTTAATTTTATTTTATATTGGACAGCCGACTCAATTTTGAGTTTACGGCTACCAATGTTCAACTCCGTAACCTTGTAAGTTTGAACCCAATCCAGAAGACAAGGGAGGATCCAGTATTAGGAAATTGCATTTATGGAGGATTTTTTTATGGAACTAACCCGCATTTGCGTTACAAGCAGAGGAAAACCGCGAAAACCTCCCACGGGAATTCTAACCTATCCTCCATCTACCACTGGAAACGTTAGCACTGTGAACGAATGGTGCGGAATTCATATCAACCATTCATCGCTGGGATTCGAACCCGTTTCACATCATCCGGAGGCGAATCCTCCATCTCCTGAGCCACCACGACTCGCACTTACTTAATAGGGGTTTTGTATTTACTTGCATTCTTAGGACCGTATGCCATTTTGGAGAACCTCTCTCTCTCTGTCGGCAGATTTTTTTGCGCCCGTTGTGGCGTAACTACCACTACGAATATTAAATATCAACTCCCTAGTATATGAGGTATGCAAAATCGATTCAATCTTAAGGTACCTATTGATGGATTAAGGTTGACATAGTCGATAAAGCACTCTCCCCAGATTGGTAAACTAAGGACGTGATATGAACTCGCTTGCATCGAAAGTAGCGCCCACGTCTATAGTTTGTCCACGTCGTACAGTTGACTTGCTATATGTTACTGCGTTCTCCTCACGATGTTGCTTCTCAGTCTCATTTACACATAACGGGCATCTGCACACAGGAGAGGCTATACAAACAACTGTAGACTTAATACAGCGCTCACCAATAGCACTCATAATCTGGTTAACTTAATACAGCTCTTCCGGTCTTTCGCAAATATGGCAACTAGTGGTATCCGTCTATCGAATTCTATCCCCGATAAAATTCCGGTGAGGGAGCATTGTGGCGTAATTACCACTTCGAAAATTAAACATCTATTCACTAGTATATAAAACATGCTAACTCGATTTAATCTTGAAGTACCTTTTGATAGATGAAGATTGGCGTTGGCATTGTCGAAAGCGCTATCTTCTGACCAACTAAGAGAACCTGATTGGCGAGTTTTTCGCGGGTGAATATTTTTCACCTATCTCATTCGCATGCGAAAAAAATCACAGGCACACAATTACAGGTTATCAGTTTCATTCTTTTCCGCATCTTTTGTGGAATAAGAAAATCAATGGTGGAAAGAAAAATATTCGTAACTAACAAATCAAGCAGAAGTGGAATGCCATTTATCTGAAAAAGAAAGTTAAATTCATCCAGTTAATTTAAATCACGAAAAAAACAATTTATAATATTTTAATACCTGTCGCTATTATTGTAAATGCGACTTTTTTACTAATTCATATTTTTTTATTTTAGGTTTCCTAGTTTCAACAGGGAGACAGAATCAGTATTTGAAATAATTTTGTTGGTTAGTAATAAAAATGAAATTTTAGTTTTAAATAAAAGTATTTTGAATGTCAGCTGACTATTTATTGTCAGCTAATTATTTAAATTTGCAGTTTTATAGCTTTAAAAATTCAAGCACCTTAGATATCTACCTTATAAAAATGTAAGTACCAACAAATAATTTTTTTTTAACTCTGAAATTCCTATAAGTGTCATTTCCAGATAATTTGATTGAATGTATTAAAATTACAGAAGAATTATGTATTTGAAACTTTCTTTTATAGCTTAACAAAAGAAGAAATTACTGCCGAAGGTGTAATATTAAAAACTTCAGGTTAAGAAATGAAGATCTCTACTAGTGAAAAAATGTAAGGATATACACTATTCTTTATATAATATTAACAATAGTGACGTTGAAAATTAATAAACTAGGTGGACCGCATAACACCTAACGTTTGTGATTTATTACCTTCGTAAGTATTAAAAAGAGCAACTTTAGATTGAGCTATAAAAGCTTGAAGTGTAAAATGTCGCATGTTAGGTTGATAAATTAATACCTTTAAAAATACAAAAATATATACTTGAGGTTACGAAATAATTAACCTAAGGTAGATCATGGAACACCTCATGTTAATAAAAAATAATCTTTCCAAGTGTCAAAAAAATAAACTTGAGGTTGATTTATAATAACCGGAAGTGTAAAAGGGCAAATTCTAGGTAGATAAATAAATACCTCAACAACTATATAAATCTACACTTGAAGTTGAAAGATAATAACCTAATGCAAACCTCACGTTTATAAAAAACAATCTGTCCAACGGTCGAACAATAAACTTGAGGCTGATTTATAATAACTTGATGTGTAAAATGACGCAGCTTAAGTTGCTAAAAAAATACCTCTACAAGCATAGAAATATATACTTGAGGTTGAAATATAATAACCTGAGGTAGAACATAAAACACCTCACATCAGTAAAAAATTACCTTTCCAACTGCCAAAAAATGCACTTGAGGTAGATCAAAAATAACCTGAAGTGTTCAATGAAACACCTTAGGTTATTGAATAAATACTTCTACAGGTGTAAAAAAGTATACTTCAAGTTGATAAGTGATAACGTAAGGTTGAAAACGAAACACTTTAAAGTAGTAGATATCTACCTCTCCACAGATGCAAGATGAAACACCTCAGGTTGATACATATATACCTCTGGAGCTATGAGGTATATTTGAGGTGTTCATTTGCACTCTTTTCAAATTAACACGTATTCAAATAACAACCTCCTTTATATCTTTGAAAAATGCATCATTTATACCTCAAAAATACCTTGATTTTTCAGTAAGGAAAAAGAACGATGGTTAAAATTTGAAAATCGGAAGAAAAAAGCGTGGGGCAGGGATGATAATTGAAGGGGTTAAGTTCTTACTAAATTATATACATATTTTATGCAAATTATTTTTCATAATCTTATTATAATTTCATTCGATCTCTCTCGTTCTCCAGTCGCGAGTCCCAAAAGTCACCTTCTCTGCAGTGTGGCGGAAGACGTGTTCACGCCCTGAGCGATACTGAAAACAGTGCCTTTTGCTCAATTTTAGAAAAGGAATTTGAATAAAAAAAAATAATAATAACTCCTCCCCATTGAATTGTCTCGTTAGTGTAGCCATAGCTGTAACGCTATGGATGGTTGACCGTGTAAAGCTCAGATGGCGCTGGTGGTCAAAATTCGCCGTAAGACTTCCTGGTTACTACTTCCGACCGATTTTTACACCTAAGCTTGAAAAAACGCACTATCCAAAATTATTATTCTTGTAGTGTTTTTAATATAACGCATTCTTGCAATCTGTCTTTCAACGAAACAAACAACAAATGAATTCAGAAGATTCCGCAAGCCTGCTATGATGCTAACCCAAAATAAAACAAGCAGCACTATTTTCTTACAAATATAGCTAAATAAGAGATAACACTTAAAATATGGCAAACCGTACACCTTATTTTTAGCTTTTATAGATTACAGTAAACTCTTATGAATGATAAAATTATGCGTAAGTTTAAACATAAAATAAAATTTCCTAAAATATCAAGGCTATTCAAACATCGCCTCGTAAGCTTAACAAAAGCGGAGGGATACATCTGAAGTTTGCTAAATTTTTTCCGTTTTAGGAAGCTTTTTATTGTTTACATTCAGTCAAACATCAATAAACTATGATGTAGGTCTAGTGTTCACGGGCTCTTGTTGGACTACATGGTGGTGCCTACAAATAAATTTTATTTGACGATGCCAATGAGTTCCGGAACCTTTTTCCGTCTCATTAAAAAGTTCCGGGCCATCGTTTCAGAGCCACTACTGTCCTACAAAGCCCTATCTACAAAAATCATTTTCATCGTTTATCTCATATTAAAGTCATTATCATGTTAAAATCATGGCCCTATCTTAAAATTTAAAGTATGGCACGCTGCAAAGGTTACGCCACTTTTAGTTAATATTTGGTTAATTAAGCAGTTATATTGAAAGAGATCAGAAAAATTTTTTAAAAAAAATCTATTTTTACCGAAATTTATATAGATTTATATAAATCTTTATAAGACAAAAACAGTCATAAATCGACGACCGGCTCCAACCAAATCTAATGTGAAAATGAAGAACTTCTATTCTTTTTTTTATATTAATCTTTAGGTATTCTTTGAATTGTTTTAAGAAGTTAATTACGCGTGTATTTTAAAAGTGAAATTATAGATAGTTTAAAAAAAAAGAAGAAAAAAGTAATGAGCTCTACCGAAAAGACCTTTGACCACTGAATGAAGACGCGATACTCCCTCTCAGCCAATCAAGTCGCCACACGAGTGTTGGTGAAGCTATAAACGCTTCCTCATCATTTGTTGCCACTGCTTGCCACGTTTGACTTTTTTCTCAGTCTAGAGGATTATCGTTTAGTCAAGTTCAGTGTCAGGTGTAGCAAACATAAATCGCCGGCATTCAGATTTAATATTAGTATAATCCTCCAATATGTATATTAAACTAATATTTCTGACATACCTGTTCACAGTAGCATTTACCGATGATATTAAGAGAGAAAATCATGTATTAGTTTTGACTAAAGATAATTTTGAAGGTGCCGTTAAAGATAAAAATGTCCTAGTCGAATTTTGTAAGTATAATTTGAAGTTGTTATATTTGAAATAATGTAACTTCTTATGTTTCAAATTTTATGACTGATCTAGAATTAAATGATGACTATTTTGTTTTCAATGTTTAAGTAATAATCGAAACGCATTTGTAAATGATATGTCACGTTACTACGTGCAATGATTTAATTGCACGCTTGATTGTGCTATTAAATTGTTTCCTCCATATGCTATTGATATTGAATTATTTTCTCATTTATTAAATAGATTTGAGTGTAAATCTAGTTTTCTCCAAAGATAACAAAAATGAATTAAAATGTATTACCATATGTTTTAAGACATCGCCGGGTATACGTATTTTATTTGGTCGAGAAATAGTTCCTTTTTTGCTGTGTACAAGGTTTTCCTCAATGCTTGATCGTTGCGTTAAGTACATTTTACTGTCTTTAAAAAAGATCTGATACTTCTAGTCCATGTCAACAAAAATGCAGGAATTAAAAAAGTCCTAAGTTTAAAAAGAAAAAGAAGAAAAAAAAATCGAATTTAAATGACTTATTTATAGTTATTAGGAGGATTTAAGTACTTTTATTGAATAATTAAATTTACTTGTAATTTATACTCTTAATTACTTTGAGATCTATAGATTGTTAACAATCAGTTATTTTAAAAATACCATTTGAAAATATTTGTCAATACCTGCATGAAAGTAATGATCATTACAGCCAAGCAGTGTCTAGTTTTAAAATAAAAAGGGAAGTGATCTGTAGTGCCATTTACAATCGCCAAGGCTCTGAATTTTAAATTTGGTTACTTGACTTGGTCATTATCCTGCTACATATCCCAATGCAGAAATCTCCTAAAAATCACAAAAGGAAGCAAATTCAAGAAGTAAATTGTAGATTTCAATATCAGTAATGCAGGAAAATAATCACTAAGATATGGTAACTGCTGGTAGTTAGGGTAAAGCTCGTAAAAGTTCGGGTAAAAGCCCATAAAGAACTATGAAAAAAAATCATCAGATCATATAACTCAAGGAATATAGCTTGTGTAACGCATCAGGATTTTTAATTATTTACATGCCCATGCTAGTCATATAAGAAACACATACAAGTATAAGTCTTGCAATGTTTTAGTCCCAATAGCTCTGTATCTTTCATTCTGATCTAAAAATGTGTGTTTGCAGATGCTCCATGGTGTGGACATTGCAAGGCTCTTGAGCCTGAGTATGCTAAAGCAGCAGAGAGCCTGAGTAAAGAGGGCTCAGAATTGCTCTTAGCTAAAGTGGATGCTACAGCTGAAACTGAACTAGCTGAACAACATGGTGTCCGTGGATACCCAACTATCAAGTTCTTCAGGGAAGGAAAAGTTATGGAATACAGTGGTAAGCATAGGATCTCTTTAATTCTTTATTGTTAAAGCATGAATCCACTAAGAGACGGCCGCAGGCCAAAAGTGGCTTCTAAAGTCCTAAACTTGGCCTTAAAAATATCTATATAAAAAGAGATAGTAATCACGAAGTATCTCATGAGTGAGAAGGGGGGGGGGCTCTATTATGCCCTGTTTATTTATAGATGTATTTTAGTCAGGGGTCTGTTTAGAAGATATTGGGATCCGTTAACAGACCCTTCACAAAATATATTTTCATAAAAACGGACCCTTCCCAAAATAATTGATCTTTTAATGGGACCTTTCACAAATTTGTTTATCTTCTTTATTGTTTTGTTAATTAAATAAACCATTCCCAGGGAGGGAGGAGAGATGGTTTAAGACAAACTAAGTTTCCCTAAGTTTAAATTCCAAATGTATTCTAAAAAAATATTTCTACTTTTACAAACATCGTGTCCACATTTTTATTAATGTAAAATGAATTTTTTTTGTAAATAAATAATTGATCAATTTATATTTATTCATAAAATTAATTAATAGAATATTATGTAAATAAAAATTCTGGCAATTTTTTATATAATATATAAATTTAAGAATTGTTTAAGTTTACTTAATGCGTAACACATTAAAAGTGATACATTACTAAGTTGCATTATTTAAAATAGGTCAATTGAAATTATTAAAAATGTGAGTGATTTTTGTTTCCATTGTTCGTCCGAAATGATTATTCTGTGTTGAGCAGTATAGGCTAAATACTTTTAAAGATATTTTTTTTCTTTGCTGTGTTGATTGTTGTTTTAAAGTGCATGATTTTCTAAATTTTCTCTGCAATATATATCGGAAACTAGTGATTTTATTGTGATTATGTAATGTTTTTGAATTTTATTGATTTTATGTTTATAAGTTAAGAACTTTAAATGATAGAAAAAAATAATTTTTATNACAAAAATGTGTTTTTGTCCTCTCATCTTGGAAAATATAGGTTTTTGCCAATTTGCTTGGCAAAAACCTGTTTTTGCCAGGACGGTTTTTGAGGCAAAATTTTGCCAACCCTGTTAAGGAGTACTGAAAAGGTGCTTATTTTTTGTTGAAAAATCTGGCTTCGCACCCTGGTATATATTAATAATTAAATTAATATATTTTATAGTTGTTACACTTAATAAAAATGAACTGTCATTTAAGAAAAACAATTATATTTATCAGCTATTTTTTATATTTATAAGTAGAAATGACAATGATCAGGAATTACCCCAGTGATCAATAATTACTCCATCTGTAAGGGGCAACATACATTTGATATAGTTTCCTATAATCTATTTTAATGTTTACAGTAGATGTGAAACAACTAATCAAAAGCTTACATTATTTTTATATAAAAGAAAAAGAAAGTAACTCAAAATATTTACTATTAAGGTTGGAAGGGAAATCTTTGCAGAAATGTGCACAATCCTTAAAATGGAAAATACAGAAAGCAGTTTAAAAGATACTTATTTTGTTAGATTAAACAAAAAAAAAATATTAAGTTAATGTATTGTAGTTATACTTGAGTAAAAAGTATACAAGGAGTCTTGTCCATGTCTCGAATTTAAAATTCATTTTTGTAAATGAAACTTAGGGGTTCATTATTTACCCCAGAAACAAAGTGATACTGAATTACCCCGGATCACCCTATGCCTATAAATTCACCATGATTTGCCAGAGCTCATTCTAGACAGAAAAAACGGCTGGATGCAAACGTTTAAAAAAAGGACATTATTATTCTAAAAGGGCAATAATTTCTATCTATGGGCTTTTCACGATCTAGTTCTATGAAAAAACATTGTCAATTAGTGAAAGAATTTTTTTTTATTTTACTAACAATAGCAAAGCAATCATATTTACTCATTTTTATTAATAAATTAACATATATATCAAGTTATTGAGCTAATTAACTTAGTAATTTATTTAAAATGCTTGCATATATTAATAAAATAATAAATGTATGTTTTTAAGTGTCTGTAGTTATGATTTAATAATTAAATTGATTAATAATAACTATGATTTAATGATAGTGGAAGCAACTGCAAACTTTCTAAGACAAGTGCAACAAGGGGGTGTGATGGCTATTTTTTTTCCCCATATAAATCTATGTATTGACAGCAATGACAAACTAAATAAAAATAGTTGAAAATTTAAGAAATCCATTGTACAGTTTGGAGAAAAAATAAAGAAGGATTGAGGAAAGAAAGGGTTTAGAGTCTATTACATCAGGGGCAACAGGGTGGATTCTTTTGACTAAAAGGGCAACAGGGTGGATTCTGTTGACTAAAAGGGCAACAGGGTGCTGCGCCCTGTTTACCCTGCCTAGAATGAGCTCTG